TTTTAAAATCCAATGTGTGGATCACATAATATTTCAAAAATTTTAACTTTTGAGTATAGATGATCCGCACTGTAATATGATTAAAGCATCTGGGTTTTTGTGATTTTCCAATAACAAGGGGTTTGATTTTGATTTTTTTAGTTGCATTACAGCAAAAAAGTACTGTAATTCTTTCTTTATCTTTTTTACATGGTCACTTTTTGTTGCAAGTGTCTGATCTGGTACTGATTGAAAAACTAATCCTGTCTCATCTTCATTGTATATGTCGTCTAATTCATATATAGGTTAGCAGATTGGCTTTCACCAGTAATATCTTTACTACTGATTCCATATCGACCCTGATCATCCTCTTGATGCTTCAAATCCAGGAAATTGTACTTGGTCTCATTGTAAAGTGCAAAACTTTTGTTTCGGCAATTCTTGTGAAACAGGTATGCTTTGGCTACGTAATCCTTGAAACCACTTATACGACGCATCTTCTAATACTGAAATCGACCTTATTTAATCCTAGTTTTTTTCAATTCACTTATTTTAGCATTGGAGGAAGATCTTCATGATGCTACTAATTGTAGAACAGTCAACATTGTATTCTCTTGCAGAGTTTCATCACTTATATTAATTCCAGTTTCGTTTTTTCTTATGATGGTTATTATATCTTCTAGGAAAGCGGTAATTTCTTTTTATTATCCATTATTTTATCAATCAGTCTATTTGAGCAAAAAGGAAAAAATAAATCTGAGAATTTATGAATGGTTTGAGTTTTTATTTTTATTTTCAATTATTAAGATAAAAGAATGCGTACATATTATGTCTAAGTCAAAATCGAGTTGTCAAAGCCACCAAAAAAAAAAAAAGAGAATAAATTTCTTCATTGTTAAAGAAATCAAAATCAATCAAAAAAAATCACCGAATAATTTCTTTATTATTAAGAAATCACCAAATCTTTTTGAAAGCGATGCCAAAAAAATTTAAAATAATATTAATATAGGGAAATCCGTCGCAGCTCATCTGTGGGGTTTGATCGAGGTTGAGATATAAACAAGGGGGGTATAAAAGAGGCATGACTGTATTAATAAAAACGTATACATTCGTGGTTTATCAATAATCTATATAATATGTTTTGGTTTTGATGCTAAAATGAAGAGAAGACCTTGACATATATAATTATATGATTTTTTGTGAGATTTTATTTTATCGCAAAATAAATCATGTGAAAATTTTTTTAAAAATCGATCGAAAATTGCATATATGGTTGGCTCGGTCTAAAGACCTCCAATTGCTGCGCCAAAATTAGATATGATGATCAAAAACTAGTCTAAATTTAGGAATGATCCTAGCGTTCAAATTTCTCATGAGCATAGTAAAGTACATGTTTTAAAAAAGAATAGAACTCTACAATAAATAATTTTTTGGAGAAAATCTCTTCATTACATTAAAAGTAGAAACCCATTTTACCAATTAATGAGGCTATTTTTTTAAAGTGTAGGACAGAAAATGACTTCTATACTTTTAAAATTTGCCCAAAATTTAGGAGGTCTTTAGACCGAACCAACTACAGTCTGCCCTTGTTTCAACGAAGTGGCTGGACATATAAGAAAATTTTATTCGACATTCGTTGAAACAAGGTTATTAATCGCGTTTCAACAAATTTTTATATGTTTTCATAATGTGTAACAACGTTTTTAAAAATTCGTTGAAACAAGGGTTCACTGTATAGAATTTCAAATTTTCGTGCGTTTTAGCAGTTTTAAAAAAATTTAGAACATATATATATCTAAAAAAAATTTTACAAAAATAAATATCTAAAAATAATTTTCGATATTATTATCACTACCACTGCCGTCTTCACGTTTTCTATTTTAATTGTTTCATCATCACTTTTATCATTTTTGCTTCCCACATTTCCATCAATTGTAATATCCATATTATCATTGTTGGTATTTTTGGAGATTATAATTTGTAATTAAAATAAATATACACCAATTTAAAACACATTCAGGTTTCTCCTTTTATATGTATAAAAGAAAAAGCGAGCAATTCCTTTTATAATAATAACTTGGTAAAAAAAATTTTCGCATTTTTGAATGCGCAGCATTCTTTTCATGCACATGCCACACATCTTACACCACCTAAAACTTTTAGAAAAAAATCATTTACAATGTCTGCAGATATGAATCGCAGCTCACTGATTTAAAATTTCCAAAGATAAAAAACATGCAACATTATAAACAATATTATTTTTTTTTTGAAACAACAATGTTAACATTGGAATTCCCTAAATGTCAATATTGACCGATTTAAAAATTATCAAAATTATAAATACACTTATTATTTGTATGGATAAATTTTGTGCCCTTTTATCTTTCCTTTGAATAGTTATAATAATAATATAATCTTTGCTAATGGTTTTTCCATTTATAACAATGGTTGGAAAAAATTTTGGTTCAATAGCATTTTTGTTGCTTTTTTGTGTATTTCTTCTAAATTATCAACCTGCAAGTTCTTATAATATCACCACATACAATGATAATGAAGCTGGTCTTCATGTATTTAATACATTGTTTTATAGAGATGGAACTCTAGTTATTTATATGGTTAAACAAATTAATGAAAAATGCATCGAACCAAAATTCTACATTAGAGTTATTTATGCCAATGGAACAATTGAAACTTCCACCCAGATATATCCAATACCTGAATTCAATTTTTGCCAGATCGTCCAAAAGGATATGTTTACTGTAAGAATAGATAGGCTTCAACCAAACAATGCATTGATGGTTTATATGAATTCTACTGATATTAATTTATCAAGTACTTATGGAATATTGTTATCTAAAAATGGAGAAACCATTAGGTAAGATAATTCTAATAAATAATAAAATAATAAACACTTTTAACCAAATTTAAATTTATACAAAAAAAAATAGCAAATTTTATATGGAAAGATCAACTTCTTTTGATGGACTGCATCTTTATACTGAAGAAACTTTTGGTGTAGGATTCTTATTATATGGTTTTGAGACAGATTCAAATGATTTTCTATGGAGTCATTTTAGTTCACCGTAATTATTATTTATATTATAATATTATTAATATTTAAACTTTTTAAATTTAATTAAATATTTTACAATATCAAAATTACTTAGAGATAAAAATGGAATAATCAATATGACAAAAACTGGAAAGTTTCCTCAAGCACCAATTGAAAAAGGTGGTGGTATATTACGATATAATACATTTCCAGCTTTGAATAATGGATTTGGATTAGTTATGGCTAACACAACAATGACTGAAGTTAACAACAATACAAAAAATATCAAACCAAATCAACCACCAATTTCTATTTATGCATCATTAATATATCCTGATGAGAGTGATAACAATGAAGTAGTTGGACCATTTTTGATATATCAAACTGCTGATATTGGTGTGACTATTAAATATTTAGTATGTTCTACATCGCTCACAAGCTCAGGATATATGTGTATTGTTAACTTATCTAAAGTCAGAAAAAATAAAAAACATAAAGTTTATTGGATGAAAATTTCATTTTTATCAAATGGGTAGGTTTTTATTCAATATAATACAAATATCATTATTATAAATACCATTATCTTAATTAATAATATTATTTATTAGTGCTGTTACAGGAACTGAGCCATTAGAATTTGATCAAATTCAAAATGTTACTGATGTGTCAATAATTCCACTATTTTCTGGTGGTTTTTTATTAAATGTTAATACACCAAGTGAAACATATGAAAATAAATACACAACTTGTGGTTATATATTAGATAATGATTTGAAGATAAACTCAACATTAGGACTTCCTAACAATTTAACACTCCCATCATTTAATCAAGAATTAAAACTTCCAGTAGTTAATCAAAATTGTGGGATCTTTACCCAGAATAATACATTTATTGCAATTATACCTAATGAAAATGATAACAAAAGTTGGGACTTAATTTCAACTGAAATTCCTAAATTCCTATCAGATGGTAAATGAATTGTTTGCATTAAATTAATTGTGGTATAATTGTATGAAATATTAATACCTTATTCATTAGATAAAGGATATAATAACCCAAATATTGATTCAACTTATCCACCAATAAATGGAGTAATAGAGATAGCAAGTGAAAATATAAATGTAACATACAATATACCAATTTTTTCATCTACCAATAATATTTCAATCTATCAAATAAATGACAATGATCAAGATATTTTGAGACAATCATTTTCAGCTGATTCCTCATTTTGTACAATTAGTGATGATAAAAAAAGCTTAAATATTCGGGTATTAACAAGCACATTTAATCTTCCTAATACTAGTTATTATGTAATAGTTGAGGATGGCGCATTAAAATTATCTTACACTAACAATCCATTGATGGGAATTTGTAAAGATATATGGAAATTTACTACAGGTAAAAATATCAATTAATTTTTTAAATGATTATAAATATTAAAATAACTAATAAGTTAATTACTTTTTAATTAAAAGGTAATATGGCTATTAAATATTCAGGTAAGCTTTTTTTATGTTTCATGAATTCATTTGGATTAAATTAATAAATTAATAAATTTATTTTTATTAAATTCTTTAGATTCGGCAAATGGTATCTTGAGACTCAATGTAGAGGGGACAAATTTATTTAATAATCTAAATTCAGCAAATAAATTTGAATTTATTAAAATTTTAAAAAATGAATTAGCCAATTTAACACCAATCAACCCAACTCGTTTGAATTTTATTAAAGATCAGATGTATTATGCAACTTCACCTCCAACTTTATTGTTATCATTTGAAATAATAAAACCCAATGATAATGAAGATCCACAAGAAATAAATGTTTCCCAAGTCATGGATACTTTAAATACATTAATTAAAAATAAATTTATTACTGGGATATCAAGTAACAATCACACAAGCTTCATTGATGAAAATCATGGATTTATTTTTACAAGTAATTAATATGACATTAAATATTTACAAGATATTATTATATTATATGCATGATTTAATATTAATTTTTAATTAATATATTTAATAGGAAATCTTTTTGAAGAGTATAAAATTTATTTAATAATCATTTCCATAATGTTTATAATCATTATAATGTTGATTTGGTATTCATATAAAAAATATCCAGAGGTAAATAATATTATTAATTAATTAATGACATCACTATAAAATATACTAATAATAATTAATAATTTTTAGGGTAATAATATTGTAATTCTGAAATTATTTTTGATTCTTATTGATTTTGTGTTGGATATTGCATTTGTATTCAACAATGGTAAAAATATTCCACGACTATTCATACCAAGGTAATTGATTTATTAATTGTTTTATTTTTTTATTGGTTATATAATTGATTAATTGATATATTAATTTATTTAAATTATTATTATTTTAGTTTATTTATCTTGATATTGTCAGTTATATTTAATTCCATGTCAAGCATTATCATAGTTATTAATGAGATTAGTAATAATTATGAATTTTATCAGTGGTTTAAAAGGTATGCCAATGTTTTGGCAGTCTTCACTGTAATCTCAAGTATAGAAATTGAGGCATTCTTAATATTATCATCAAAAATGGCTGGATTGAAGCCGTTTTCTGCACCATTTTCATCCAATTCTTTATCATTGATATTTTGGTGTAGTTTAGCAAGTTTTTTAATCGAAGATATACCACAATTTGTTATTCAGGTCAGTGATTTAATTATTAACCCTGAATCTCTTAGCTAGATATGAATATTAACATATTTATTATTTTTATTTAGGTTATTTATGAAAATTCTATAATATCATACGATCTTATTCCATTCCTGACTCTGATAACTAGTTCAATTATTATTGCCAATAACATTATTACCAGACTATATAATATAATAATAAATGTTAAAAAAGATAATAAAATATCATCATCATCACCAATACAAGAAAAATCAACAGTAATTAGCATCGAAAGTATTGAACCAGCTAAAGAAAAAATGATTGTTTCAAGACATTCTGTTTAATTAACATTATTTTATGTATTATGTACTTATTTTTGTCAATAGTGTAATCTATTAATATTAATGTGATCAGGTGACGGATCAAAATAAATTCAATTCAAAGTTATTAATTAAATAAACGAATTGTACCAAAATTATTAATTACGTGCCAATAATTTTCGTTGGTAATGCAAATTTAATTAATAATTCGTTGAACAGAGGTTTGACTGTAATTAATAGTCGAACGATTTGTCACATTAAACGATTGGGAAGTGTATTTTCCGAAATTTTTTGGTGATCAACGTCGAAATTCT